AGAGCTGAGTCTTCTAGAAGACTCAGCTCTTCACAGTTTTGCCGTATACAACAGTCACTACAATTATACATTTGAGCAGACTCCTCAGTTACTATTTATTGGATTCTAGGTTAGACAAGATTCTCTAAAAGATAATTTTGATGGCATTATAAGTACCATTCAAGTAGGTCTATCAGCTTCCCCATAAGAGATCAGAATTTATAAATACCATATATCACAGTATAAACTGAACTTACATCCCCTTTGTCTTAATGGCTAAAATATAACAGGGAGTTGTTAGAAAACACTGAATTGAGATGCAATGTAGTGACCTCAGTTTATGTTGAAGAATACCACCTTCATAGAAGATCTGAGCTCCATGCCCAGTGGGTGTATCTTCATTCCATAAATAAAAATATACTTTTATTATTTTTTCCAAACTTATAATACATACTAATGAAACCATTGTGTATAGAAAACCAGCTTTTTGTTTATTTTATAAATACACAAATCTCAGTGTAATATAATATTTTTATGCCATTTATATGCTGCTGTTACATAACACAACAGCAACACAATAAGATTTTTGATTGTTATTGCTGATTGTGCCTAATGTTATCAAATTGTTTTGAATATTTTTTTTATTTGAATCGTTTTAATTATCTATTTACATGATGATGCACAGTGCTACCATGCCATGGTGACATTGTGTACAGATGACAATAAACGTGAACTGAGCTGAATTGGAAGCCGTGTGTGTGTGTGTGTGTGTGTGTGTGTGTGTGTGTGTGTGTGTGTGTTGATGCCAATTAACTCTTGTGTGTTCATGTTCCCGTGCGCGGCCAGTGGCTCCGCAGCTAGCCCTCAGCTAGCCTCTAATTAATAACCAAATCATTATCCTCTCGTCGGACGAAAGGATGCACCATGAGCCCGATAAATGACGGGATCCGGAGCCGCTAAGGGTTGATTCGCGACGGTTTAATGAGCCCACATTTTCGGCCCCCCGGCTCCTGGAACCTCAGCACACCGAGAAGCAGACCTCCGTCTGCGGATGGAAAGAAGGGAGCCTCCGGTTCATTTATTTAGGAGGAGCAGCTAACCTTCGTCATATTGAGCCGGGATTTTCCTTTAGGCTTAACAGAAAGCTCCAGGTTCAGGTTCGTAAATCTGTTTTTTTGCCTGCCGTTAAGAAAGTGTCACCGTTACTGTCGCTTATAGTGGTCGCTGTTTCCCGGGGCTAACCCGGTGTTGTGCCCAAAAACAACAGCCCTGCGAAAAGAGCACATACGTACCAGAAAGCACATATCTGTTAAAATGTTGGTTTAAATAATAATTCAGAACCTTTGAACTTGATGCAGCGCTGAGCAAATAGTTAGAAGCGTCGCTATTTTTTTATATTATACTCTTTAAACAGTGAGGCTGCTGTTTATAGCCGGGGTGCCTTTTTAAGCTCAACACCTAGCTAATGTTTCCTGTTGGGGCTCTGCTAGCAGGTGGCTAGGCTAACAGGCTAACTCTCTCTGGTTACCCTCATCTTTGCCTGGAAACGGAAAAAATAAAGAACGTTAGAGCGCGCAGACTCCGTTCACCATGATTTACCGCAAATCGTTTGGATTTGTTTGGAAAGTGCTGCTGACATGCTGAGCTTTAAACAAAACATTCAGCCTGCTGTTGCTGCTTGATTTCAGATGTTATTAAATTTAACTGAACACACATTTCAGAGATTGTTTATTATGGTACATTATTATGGTACATTTACATTAATTTGTAGGAAGTTACTGGACAGACAGACATTGTAGTAGTAGTAGTTAATTACCATGTAATTATCCTTGTTTATATAGCACCAAACTACAACTGTGGTCTTATCATGGTAATTTACTGCTGAATAAATCAGTTTATTTTAGGGACAAGAAAGATGATTTTCAGTCCAGTTACAAAAAAACAAATCCTTTCCAAACAGTCAGATCCAGGCCAGGTAAGAACATGCATGGGGATATGGTGGAAAGAAACAACTACAGAGCAGATACAGATAGAATATTTAAATAAAATAAACATTACCTGTCGCATATCTGATTCATTAACAATTTCAATAAACTATTTTCATTCATTTAAGACAAAATTATTTGCATGCTTGTATTATGATAAACTGCTTATAATATTCACAACTGTTTGCCACCATTTCCCTTTTTCCTCTGAGCACGGAGCAGTCGGTTTGCTCGGAATCGCAATGAATCATGGGATACCCAAGGCTACGGAGGATACACCGGAGCTGTCATTCCAACTGGGCAAAAAGAAGGCTGCACTTGTCAGCCTCATATGAACATCCCTGAATCCCTTGCCACCTCCTAAGCACCAACCCGTAACTATCAAGTGTCACTCCCAAGAAGTCACACTATCCCACATTTGCCCCTTTCTTAAAAAAAAATTATACGGTTAAATAACACCATTTCAAATAGGACCTTCCCTTTTCGGATCGATGACATTTTTTTCTTTTTCCTAACTTGTGATTTTCTGTCGGTGTGACAAAGATGCAGCAAACCAGCAGAACTTACAATAGAATCCCAGCGATTCCTCCTCTACTAGTTCACCATTACACCTGCTGGCAGATTCCAGCAAGTCTGCACTGATGCAGACTCACCGTTTAAGGGCTGAACGTTCCACTCACCCTATCCATTACGTGGTTTGGGACGGCCCTTAATGTGACAGACCCTCCACGGGAACGCACAAATGAGGGGCTGTGCTATGACCTATGTTGCCACTGAACCTGGCCTTCCGAGGATGTAGCCGCTGAATTGGGACACAGCAGATATCTGAAATAAAAGCTCAGTTTATTTCAAAGTCTTTTCTAAACAGGACAAACTGAATTATCTGCAGTCCAATAATAGTGTTTAATTGTTTTTTTGTATTTAGTTGCTGCCATCACTTTTGTGGTGTCAGAATAGAGGTGTGGCAGCCTAGTGGTTAGGGCATTGCGCTTGAAATCCAGAGATTCTGAGTTTAAGCCCCACTCCCACATGTCCCTGAGCCTTAACCTCCACACTGCTCCCCGGATGCCACACAATGGCAGCATACTGCTCCGCCAGGGGGATGGGTTAAAAGCAGAGAGTTCATTTCATTGCTCTTTACTTGCTCTGTACTTGTGACAGTGTAATGATAGTTTTTAAAAAAGCAACCAAAAAAAATCTGCATTGTCAATGTAAAATAAAACTCATTAAATCATTATAGTTATACAGTATAATAGCTTTTAAGCTACCCTAAAATTCCACTCCTTCGCCTGCACTGAGTCTAAGTCTAAGTATTTATTACAACTAGAGAGAAATTGAGAGAGATTGTTTGGTTGGTGTTTCACCAGAAGTTTGCGTTTGTGATCTGCCTCTCTTCCAACACCCCTAGAAGATCAGGATGGGTCATCATTAGGTTTTTCAGAGAGATGATAATCTAAAATATAGTAAAATTGTAAATATTAAGAATATTTGAAAGACTTTTTCTGAAACTGATGTAGCACGGTTCCTGATGTCAATGACAAACATGTGTAGTTTTGTAAGTTGTTAGCCAGACTGTAGTTTCCTGATACTGTATCTGTGTTTCTTCTGATGGTTTGTTTTTTTTCTTGCAGATGTAACTCAAGAATAAAGCAAAAGCTTTAGATTTCTCTCCAGTCTTTCCCAACATCTGTTTTGCTTCAGTGCATTCCAGTGTTGTTCGCTGCCTCTTCGCCAAGCTAAGAGATGGAGTGAGTTTTTCTTGTCTTCATATATTCAGGAACCATCATCCCATAGCTCAAAATGTCTCTCTCTTCTTTTAGCTGGGCTGCTCCAGCTGCCAAACTGAACCCATACTCTCGAGCCCGCATGACTGAAGCCTGGCAACAGCAAACCGTCGCTCCGCCTCCGGTTGTTCACACGATCCCAGCTGGAGCTGAGAACGCCCTGAGCTGTGCGGTGTATGGGATTGTGCTGCAGTCGGACGCATCATCGCTGCAGCAGCAGCAGCAGCATGGAGGTGGACAGCAGCACGCCGGCGGACAGCAGCAGCAGCATCCTCCTCAAGCACAGCAAAGCTCCTTGCAGGTGGGAACGGAATCGGGACACAAATGTGGAACATGTGGACACGACATCTCCCACCTGGCTAACCCGCTTGAACACCAGTGCATGGTGAGCCAGGACAGGTCCTTTCAGTGCACCCAGTGTCTGAAGATCTTCCATCAAGCTACAGATTTGCTGGAGCACCAGTGCGTTCAGGTGGAGCAGAAGCCGTTTGTGTGTGGGGTGTGTAAGATGGGTTTCTCCCTCCTTACCTCTTTGGCGCAGCACCACACGTCGCACAACAGCAGCAACCCCATGAAGTGCTCCATATGCGAGAAGACATACCGACCGGGCTCCTCGGGGAACACCACACCCACTTCTTCAAGCAGCTCCCAGCCGTCCAGCAGCGACGGGGCGTCGGCAAGCAGCAGCTCCTCCATCCTGCCTTTCCCCTCGGCTCGAGACCGGCCATACAAGTGCTCCGTCTGCCAGAAGGGCTTCAAGCACCTCTCAGAACTCACACGGCACGAGAGAGTGCACACGGGGGAGAAACCCTTCAAATGCGACACGTGCGACAAGGCTTTCAGCCAGTCGTCGCATCTGCAGCACCATCAGCGGACGCACAGCAATGAAAGGCCGTTTAAGTGCGCCGTGTGCGAGAAGAGCTTCAAACATCGCTCCCACCTCGTCCGCCACATGTACGTGCACTCCGGCGAACACCTGTTCAAGTGCAACTTGTGCGAGCTACACTTCAAAGAGTCCTCGGAACTGCTTCATCACCCCTGCCACCCGCAGGGCTCCCGACCGTTTCGCTGCGCCACCTGCGGTAAGGGCTTCAAGCGGCCGTCAGACCTGCGCCAGCACGAGCGGACGCACTCCGAGGAGCGCCCCTTCCACTGCGATGAGTGTCAGATGAGCTTCAAGCAGCAGTACGCACTCGTGCGCCACAGACGGACGCACAAAGACCCTTCTGACCGGCCGTTTAAATGCAGTTTGTGCGACAAAGGCTTCATGCAGCCCTCCCACCTGCTTTACCACCAGCACGTCCACGGCATGGACAACCTCTTCAAGTGCGCCTCCTGCCAGAAAGAGTTCAGCCAGTCAGGGGAGCTGCTCAGACACAAGTGTGGGGAGGCATCCAACTCGTCCCCCGACAAGCCGTACAAATGTGACGTCTGTGGGAAGGGATACAAAAAGAGCTCCACCTTGCAGCGCCACCAGAACTCCCACTGTCAGGAGAAGCCCTTAAAATGCTCGCTCTGCGACCGGCGCTTCCTGTCCTCTTCAGAGTTCGTCCAGCATCGCTGCGACCCATCCAGGGAGAAGCCCTTAAAGTGCTCCGACTGCGAGAAGCGCTTCAAGTACTCGTCGGACCTGAACCGCCACAGGCGCGTGCACACGGGCGAGAAGCCCTTCAAATGCGAGCACTGCAGCAAGGGTTTCAAACAGCGCGAGCACTTGACCAAACACCAGAGCACGCACTCCAGGGAGGGCCAGTTCAAGTGCGTCTGGTGCGGAGAGCGATTCAGTGACTTGGGCTCTTTGCAGGATCACACCGTGCAGCACACGTCCGACAGCGGCGGTTACAATGTGCCGCAGTGCATGTGAATCGTGACTCTTATTCTCCGTCCTCCGTCCAGAGGCCGTTTTTACGAACCTCAGCATCACTCGCATTCAGAATAGTTGTGGCCCGCATCTGGTTTCGTAAAGTCACAGTGTGTCGCAATTAACGGAAATTGAAGGTCTGCTTGACGTGTCAAAGCAAACATTTCTACTCATCATTTATAGCTTTTTCACCAACTTTTAAAAAAATCTATTCAAGTTTATTAAGTTTTGTAGCAAAGGTAAAAGTGGATGTTTTAGAGAACAATAAAAAAAATGCATTTATTACTAGTACCCATAGATCAGATGGAGATTAGAGTTCTGATTGGTGCAAATTGTAAAATCCCTGACCCCCACGCCATTTCAGTGGAACTAAACCAGAGCACTGCAATATGCAAAATCCAGACCATTGTCACAATAACAACTGGGTCGCTATGGATTTTTTCGCATGCAATATTTGGGTGATTATTAAACTGCAGTAGAGATGCATGAACACTGCATAGTAGTGATATATTTGACCAGTCCACAGACTTTTTCTGCCTCAATATAGATTCTAGTCATAAAAAAACTACTTTTCTAAATTCCTGTGTGTTTCAAAGCTACCTCCACTACCAAAACTTGTTTTAAAATGTTTCGGGGTTTTTTTTCATGTTGTGAGAGTGCTTACAGAGGAAATACAGTCAGTTTAAGTTGGAATCAAACATTCCAGCTCAAGGAAGATGAGATATCGGCATCAGGCCAGAAAAACCAGATCAGTGCCTTTTTAACATCTTCATATCGTTGAGTCGCGGAAACTTTATGACGTATGGGTAATTCAAACAAATTTAAAGGCTTTTAATAGCAACATATAATAAATTGGCTGCTTAAATCAGTTTTCCTATGTTTACATATATTGCAGAGAAATATCCTCAATTTTTTTTGCCAGGAAAATTGGACCCTGCTGTTAAATTCACTGTCAGGAACCTTCTCAAGTAAATAAAATGGTCCATTTGAAAAGTGTTCAGATGGCCCATTTTTCTTTTCTTAAACCTCAGTGTTTTATTCGTCCATCCCAGGCTCAGTAACAGCTTTATGGAGGCTAAAACAGATTTATTCAACTGCAGGGCTTTTCTGAGTCACGCCTACTCTAAAACATTCAATTTTACACATTAACCCATAGAAGCAGAAAGGTCATTAGATTGTAAACCGTTTCTTTTTCTGGTCTGCATTTGTAAACCTTGTGAACCTTTACGATGAAAAGTTATCACTGCGACATTCGTTCACTCTTGTTACTATTTGGTACCAAATCATTCATGTTATATTAAAGATTGATCCTTTTATTTTGATTTTAATTTATCTGCTTTGCCTTTTTTTTCCCCTCATTATTTTGCCTGTTTGTGCAAAACATGAGTTCACCTCACAGAATTTCCTAAGTGTTTTCAAACCCCTGCTTCTCAACTGCAGTCACTGTTAAAAGAAAGTACACCCTCCTCCATAATGATAGGAACTGATCCTTAAAGGCAGCAACACGAATGAATTTATTGCCGTTATCAGTTAATTAAAGTGGAAAAGCCTAAGTGCAGCCCATGGTTCAGCTTTCTGCTGCTCTCCTGCTTTGTACTGATATACAGACTGATTATAACATCATTATAACCTAACTTCTCTGCTTTAATTTATAGAATAAACTAAAGATGCAGAGATGTGGCGGTTCAATCAGATGCAACTTTGCTTTTTGCAGATAGGAGGCGCTCTTCTCCAGTTAAACTATTTCCCTCGTTCTGTTTTTTTTTTCAAACTGTCATATCAGGAGCTTTAACTTGATTAACGTGCTAAATGAGACGCGTAGAGAGGAAGCTCATGGGGTCTTATGTTCTGCACCACCTGAGGTTGAGGTTAACAGCTTAGATATCCACCTCCTCTACCGCCTTTAAGCTTTTTCACGGGTTCATAATCTTTCTCGTTGCATCTTAACACCATGGCAACATCTGCCTGTCCAAATGTAGGGCTTTATAGAGCGTCTCACACTGATGATGATCCGTTAAAGTCTTCATCAGAAGCAGTTTGCTGCTATTTGTGCCCTAAATCCTATAGAAACAGCACTTAGTTTTTCCACTTTTTAACTTTATCTATCTTTAAATTTGTTTACTGTTTTTTTTTTTTACAATTGAAGTAAGATTTTGATTATTTTTAGAACCAGTAAAAGTAAAGGGTTTACTTTCTCTTTGTATTGACCGAAGCTTCAAATATATCTTTATTTATCTTTGCAGTCTCATTTTAAAGTTACTGTCGCATTAGAATGGCTGAGGGAGCAGTCATATGAAACCTGTCACTTTAGACATGTGAGAAATGATTAATTATGTCATTTATACATTATTCTTATCATATTCCTGCGGAGGCCAGTGTTTTTGGATGATGGATATTGAATCCTCTCTCAGCTTGTAAATACTGCAGATGTGTGAGCCAAAATGGTCAGAAGCTGTTTTTATCTCAAGGTTTTTCTTACATTTTTTTACTACTTGAAACGTTTGGAGGGGATGCTCCCCTTTTTTGTTGTTGTTGCTGTGGTTGTTGTTTTTTTTTTTTTCTGGTCTGTGTAGTTTTATGGTGCAAGTGTGTTACGGGGATTCTCAGAGAGAGACACCAGTGCGAGAGTCTAAGTGTGTAAATGTAAAAAAAAAAAAAAAGATTCAGAGCGGTGAGAACTGATTCGACAGCCTCTGCTCCTTTGTTCAAGTTTGTCTGCTCTTAGCTGTTCCTGCAGGATGTTCCTGTGCCTCTGTGCTAAAAGATTTAGCAGTTTATTCTGTTTTTTCTTGTTCCGTTGTGTCTATGGGGGGGAAGCTTGTCTCTGAATCGCCACCTTTGATTGCCATGAGATTCCTGTTGCTCTTGAGAAGCCACTTTGTTTACGTGCTGACTGTGTGTCCGTCATTTTTCTCCTGTAAGGTTTCAGTGCAGTATTCCAAACATGTTTTGAAGTATTTTCTACGACCTTATGAAAATTTCAGTCCTTTTTATTTCAGCCTTTAAATGTTTAGGCCTTTTATGAATCGTTTTACATAAACTCCACCGTTTATTACTCTAAAATCTTAAGACTTTAAGAACAAGTTTGGTTGGGTTCTTTTATGGTTTTGCACTTTCTTATTTTGTATATTTGCCTGTTAAATTGATCAAACGTGTGTTTTGTAGTGAGATACCAGGACCTGTGGGTTGTTAAGAATTAAAAAAAGTAGGATTTGAAAAGATTTTTCTGTCCAAAAACATAATTGACATGTTTGGTCAAGCCAAAGAATTTATTTTGTTTTTCATAATTTATAGATGCTTGCAAATTCTCTTATCTTTCATCTGTTCTTGGATAGAATATAAAATCTTCATATAGCGGAGCAAAAGTTCTTATTTATAGGCAGGAGTCCAACTCCACTAAATTTGTACTGGTTTTACTGGAGATGAACCATACAGGCTCACTTCCCGCCCACCTCACTTCCAATACCCCCCCCCCGCCATGTTGGACCCTGGTTCTTCCTCCTCCTAGCATGCTTGCTGTTTTTTTTTTTACCACATTTCTCTTTTCTTCAAGGCACTTTTTCACCCAGTTTAACAACTCCTGACATTTTTTTTTCATTGTTCTGTGATTTTTATGTCAATGATGTTGAAAATAAATCTTGGAAAAGAAAAGAACTTTGTGGTATAGTACAGCTCATGTGCATCCAAGCTGAGATAATCTGTATGTATGTAGCATTCATTTAGACACAACACTAACAAATTAATTGTTTTTTTTTTTTTTTTTTATCTTACTATGGGTGATGGCGATTTCTAAAGAAGATGCTTTTAGGTGCCTTTTTTTAACCTGTACTGTTACTTTTAAGATATCTATATTTCCAGATGTTTTGAACTCGCACATAAGTTTGAAAAGTTTGATTTAATCATTCAATTTTTTTTTTCAGATGCTAGTACCTTTAGGTTTTATCTTAATCTAAATGCTCTTTCAGCTAAATTACAACCATTTTAGTTTTATTTCTATAATTTAGTTAATTTGATTGATACACTTACTGAAAAAGTCATTATATGGACATTAACAAAATCTTCCACAATTAAAAAAAGGTTTAATAAATAATTATATATAATTGTTAGATGCTATACTGCCATAATTTGAGTCAAACTTAAAATACATATGTATCTTTTTTATATAATGATTCCTTGATTATTTAGGTATCTAACAAATTCTCAAGTAATATAATTAAATAATGAAATGTGGGAATTTGCTTATTAAAAGTGACATGAAATCACAGATTCTTTTCTACTTATTTCCATATTTATTACATTTTTCTTCATGGGGCCATTTTTACACCTCTCCACAAAATATATTTCTGAGAGAAAGGAAGAAAAATATGGAAGAGGATTAGAGCTGAAAGAAAAAAAAGTTAACTGATTTTTAAACATTATTTCAGTTTTAATCCCAGAATTCTGACTTTAATCTATGAGGAAAAAAGTCAGAATTCTGATATTAGAGTCAATTCTAAGAAAAAAGTCAAAATTCTAAGATTAGAGTCAGAATTTTGAGATTAAAATCAGAACTCTGAGAAAAAAGTCAGAATTCTGAGATTAAAGTCAGAATTCTGACTTTTTTCTCATATTATACTGAAATAAAAAAATCTTTTTTAATTTTTCTTTGGCCCTAATCCTCTTCCGTAGAAAAGCGTGAAACAAAAAAGCAGGGTCCTTAGAGGAATGATATAGGTAATAATAAGTAATTTAATTTGAATGTTTTTTCTTTAAATGAAAGTACTTATATCTAACCACCAGAGGGCGCTGTGGCGCTATGGCGCATTTTACCCCGGATACCAGCGAATTCACATCCCGGGTATCTCCCTCCCTCCCTCCCCACCGCTCCTCCTTCACGCGCTCCGCCTCCCTTCCTGCGCTCTCCACCACCGGGGAGGTCCGCAGGCTGCCGAGCTAACCCCCCCTCCCCGAAACCCTAAAAGTTTGCGAGCGGCACCGGGGAGCCAAGGTCCCGCTCGCCCCGCAGCAGAGGGCTGCACATGACGCGCGCTGCGCTCCAGCTGGTACCCGGAGCAGAGGGCTCCCCATCTGTGCGACATCTCCGCGCTACAGTGAGCTAACGACATCGATCTTCGCTGCTGGTTCCACCGCCCCCCCTCTCCGGCTCTACCGATCGGTCACATCGAGCGTTGATTGATCAGCTGGGGCCCCCCGCAGACCATCCTCCCATCATCCGGTGCAGGAATCCCCTGCTCCTCATCTGCCTTACAGGGTCCGCCTCCTCTCTACCTCAGCACCCCGATGCCTCCTGCTCTCCATCCCCGTATATAGATCCATCCTCCTCTAGTTTTTTAAAATAAAAATATCTGCTTTTAACAAACCGAACATAAGCGATCCAAACTTCTACGGACCCCGGAGACATCTCTGCTTCTGCAAACCAGCTGGCCTGTTTCCTCCCACACGCAGCTGCCCTCCGCTCTCCTTATCTGAGTCGGTTCAACCATCAGAGCCACGGCTCCCACCATGCCGGGTCCGGTGGCCGGGAGCAAGGCCCGTGTGTACGCAGACGTCAACACCCTAAAGAGCCGGGAGTACTGGGACTACGAGGCCCACGTTCCCAACTGGAAGTAAGGATAGATCGCAGAGGGATGGGGGAAACTGTAGCAGATGGGTTTTATTATTAAACACCGAGCTGTGAGGGTGTGATGACACCACGGTGGTCCTGCAGCCTGTCTGACACCTCATCCCACCGCATCTCTGTGATCTCCTCCTCCGAGGAGCCAGAAACTCCTATCATTTGGCTGCAGATGAACCCTAAACAATCCTGTTCTGTTATTGTCACACAGTCATGCATGCTGTTCTTCTGTTTGTCTCTGCAGCAACCAGGAGGATTACCAGCTGGTCCGCAAGCTGGGCAGAGGGAAATACAGCGAGGTGTTCGAGGCTATCAACATCACCAACAATGAGAAGGTGGTGGTTAAGATCCTCAAGGTGAGTGAGTGAATTAATTCATAAGGATGGATCTGAAAAATGAAAAATAAGTCAAATAGTTGATTTCATTCATCTATTGTTTCATTAAAGTATCAAAAACTGACTTTAAATACAGAAATACTCTGCCATGGCGCTCCATAGTCCAGGGAAAGGACTGCTGACTTGACAGTCACTGTCCCACTAGAAGGGTCTGACACAAAAGGTCATGGCTGAAGAAAGATTTTTCATAGAGTGCTGCAGCAAATATATTAATAGGAAGTTGAGTGGAAGGAAAATGTGCTGAAGAAAAAAAAAAAGAAAGACACATCCATCTGTCTATATAAAAAAAACATTTTTATTGTACATAAAGGAATTTTCAACTCTTAAAACATGTCTAATCCAGGTCTAATTATTCTCTACAGGAATTGTAATGAACTTTGGAAAAACAGGGATTGATTATAACTAATAGTGTCCTGACAGAAAGATTAGATCCTTAGCTCCGCCCTAGAGGAAGTTAAGCAAATCAGTCAACCCATCTTCATCAAATCAACATAGATGCTGCAGGAAAAATCGGATCAGTCAGATGTTGAACTGTTGATTGATGATTAGGATTTTAACTTGGATTCAATAAGACAAAACAAAACGTTCCAGTCCGCCAGACTCTAAGAACAAAGCTGTTCTTAGAAGCAGAGGTCACTCTGTAATTGAAGGTTTAGCTCTAATTACAGCCCTGCTCGTTAAGCCAACTAAGGAACTCTCTACTGCTACTATATAAAACCCAAGCAGATTAAAACGCTCTGGGTTTAATTTCAATGACTGTGCAGCTGTAGATCTATGTGAGGAAACCAACCAGCCTTTGTCGCGTTAGAAGGTTGACGGAGAGAGATGTAAAACAAACAAGCCCAAATAATCATGCGTTTACCACCGTGCCTGACAGCATTTGCTGAGCTTTTTAGCCAAGGATCTTTATTTAAACCACATATATGCGAAGGCCCCTAATCTAAAGATGTTCTGGTCTATTCAGATTGAATCCTGCAACCCTATAGCAGAAATATATTTAGTTTCAGAACCAGCCACATATGTTCAGCCTTTATCCGGTCGTCTCGTCTTGAACGTTGTCCTAATGAATGTTTAGGCTGACATGGAGCTCTTGGCTGCTTCGCTGTTTCAAAAAACAATGCACCTCATAACGGCTGGTGTGAATTAGCTCAGAGATCCACTTCTGAGATTCTTGGCAGCTGATTGAAACATTTAATGGCGTTAGAATAGCCAGTAAATTGCATTGTGACATTTCCCATCATTAATCAGTCCTCTAAAGGTGAGTGCTGCTTTTATAGAGGAGGTAGACTTAGACTCAACTTCATTTATCCCCTGGGATTACTCCTTCAGGGAAATTCTGGTTCCAGTAGCTTATATAGGGTGCAAAAAGTTAAAGCAAGATGCCATTAAAGATAAAAAAAATATGACAGACAATATAAAAAGAATGTATATAGTACAAAAAAAGCATAAAAAAGTTATGTCCTGGAATATTTTCCCTTTAGATTTACAAATGTCTGCACAATAAAGAACTAAGGAAAGACTACAGAGAAGTTGTATATCGCAAATGCATATTATCATCGGTTGATATTAATATCATATCAACCGATGATGATATGTCATTATAGTCCAACATGTAATGTCTTTGGAATAGAGAGCAGATTTAAAATGGGGAGCACTTTCTGTTTTTTTCATGATAATAGCTGTTAGTTTTGGTCAGATTTTCGGAAAAAGAATTGCAACTGATCAGCATCCCACAGTTAAAAACGGCTGCAATCAAACCTTAAAGGAAAATGCGCTTTGAATGAATATTGGATCGTTGGGTGGGGATAAAAAAACAAAAGCTTTCCTTTCCTCTGAATCCGTTTTCAGGGACGCTTTATTCAGTCATAATCAGGAGGTTTATTTAGAAATAAGTGTCTGCAGCACCGGCTTCTGTTGATTACAAGATAACCCAAAAATAAATGGAGGTGTCTCAGCCGAGAGGCGAGGATTAGCCGTCAGTCATTCAGCTGTAAGGAGAAAGATGCTGAGGAGAGCAGCAGTGGTGAGGAGGGCTGCATCAGCAGATTCCTGAAACTGCGTGTTGGCAAACATTCCTGCTCTCACATATTAATGTCATTTTGTTTCTTTCGCCTCTTCATCCGATACCGCTCTATTAAATCACTTATTTTGCTAATTTTTTTTCTTCTTTACGTAATTTCAGCCTGTCAAGAAAAAGAAGATCAAGAGAGAGATAAAGATCCTGGAAAACCTGCGAGGAGGGACCAACATCATCCGACTAGTGGACACGGTCAAAGACCCCGTGGTAGGCATGCTTACATTTTAAGGGTTTTTTTGAGGTTCATGCTATAACGGGACGTTCCAATTCTACTTTTTCCAATCATACCTTTTGTTTGTAACATTGTGATAAAAACCTACAATTTTATAATAATACTAACCTCACAAAGGGAACATAAACAGCTGTTTTTGTCTTTTCACTACCTAACTGCATTACAAAGCAGTCATTAAGCTACTACTTAGTATGGAACAGCAAAACAAACAACGTAAAAATAGATGAGTTCATTTAAATGGTTCATAAACAGCTAAGATTGGCATAATAACTAGTTAATTATACGGCTGTTTGGGGGAAATTGTTTCTGTTTCCTGTTGCTGCTGTTTGGCTGCAGTAGTGAGGAGCTCTAAGAATCTGAGGATCTGGCTGAGGAGCATGAAGACAGATTGGTCTGCATCTTTTAGGCGCTTTGTTCTTGGACTGCTCTGGTGAGAAACAAGGCAGCATTTTTCATTTTGCAGCTGGTGCTCATTGTAGCACTCCTCCAAGAGGTAAATGCAAGTTATGGAAATGGGGACATCGGATAGAAGCACCAAATGAGTCTTCCTCTCACTCAGATTCCCCATGGAGAAATACCAAAGAGGCCGATATGCTGGAAATGTATATTCTGCTATCTTTTAGCTATTTGAGGACAAATAAAAGCTAGACAGAGATGTTTGAATGGCTGCAGGATTTATTTTAGCCCTCTTAGATGTTTATGGGTGGGCATTTTTGGCTTTTTCTGTAAGAACAAGAACGTTGTTGAAAAAAAGAGCGTCATAAGCCCCATTTACACTTCCCTTTTGAAACTGTGCCAAGATTAGTCCGAGCACAGAAACCGAGATAAAGGCTCCTTTGTGGTTGATTTGGTCCAAAACTAGTTTTCATTAAACAAGTTTGGTCTGAAATTATGAATAAAGACGCAGCTTTTCAATTTGCCTTTTAGGGATGTCCGGATGTGGTAATGTTATCAGATGTCAGTCCGATATCATCACGCTGATGGATACACTCCCCTTCTGTCAAAGTTTATCTAACCCATTGGTTAATAAATGGGTGAGTCGTGTTCTCCTCACATACGAAAATTGTAAAAACAATCCTAATCTGTTCAGAACAAGAAATCTAACCAATCCTAAACTAGTCTCATATATTGCACAGGGAAATCCAATTTACAGAGTCCTTTCTTTTGGATTATAAATGGCAATAAATCTAGGAAATCTACCCGGCGACCATGAGGAAGAAGATGATCTGGACAGATGGCATCAAAGGGACATTTTTCCACCATTGATCAAATGCTACTTATAATGGAAAACCCTGAACACCATATCCTCAGGGTGAGACATGGAGGTGGAAGTATCATGCTTTGGGGATGCTTCTCTTTAGCAGGGACAGCAAAGCTACTCAGCATTAATCAGAAGGTGAATGAGCTCAGTTTAGTTTGACTTTCTTACTTTGCCTTCTAAGGAAGTAATATATCATATGATTATATATATATTAGGACTGAAACAATTAATTGGATTAATCGTGATTAATCTATTACTGAAATAACTAACTAACTAATTTAGTAATTGATCAATTGTTAACTGGAGTATAGAGACTGTAAAACATGACTTTAGCTGACAGAGCGACCAACTTAGAGAAGTAATCATACCAAGATTAAAAAAAAAATATATATATATATATATATATAAACTTTTGTGCATTTTAGATTAAAAAAAACTTTTTTTATCTGTCAATAAGCTCTGTCCAGAACTCCTTGAATAGAAAAGTTTTAGTCTCACCTGCTTTCATTTCATAAAAAAGGCTTCTTTAAAGAACGTTTTTATTGGGTTTTGAACTGTACATACAAAGTAAAAACCAAACACTTCCAACATAAGCAACAAAATGACAATAACTTGGGGAAAAAAAATGTGGTAACATATACAAATACGAAGCTCGTAAGAGAAACAACAAAAATAATAATATAAATTGATAAATCAATATTAACATGTTACGGTAGGGTTACAGAGTCTATGATTCAATTATATCCCAGTGAAAATAATTTAAAAATGGCTGCCAAATCTTATAGAACCTCTTGGTTGATCCCCTGGTTGTGTGCCGTATTTTCTCGAGTTTGAAGTGTGCCATCACATCCTCAACCCATCGCCTGTGTGTGGGAGGAATCTCTGACTTCCAGTTACACAAATTAAGACGTCTGGCCAATAGAAATGAAAATGCATCTGATTGTGGACCTGATATCAACATTAGAGATGCACAATATAATCGGCCCCCTATCGGTATCGGCCTGTATCGGCCTTAAAACTGAATATCGGACATCGGCCACCCCACCGATATTTAACCCGATATTTGATCAGCTTCTGAGTTTCTAAAGGCTAAAAAAAAAAATAAAAAAAAATACTACTTCTTCTTCTTCCTCAAAAACTTCTTTTTTACAGACTTAAAAACTTCTAAAGACGAGGGAAAAAATATTGATACATTAAAATATCACAATATCTTCATATGCTGATATATTGCCATTTAAAAACACCATATCAATCTCTTTTACTAATGAAATATTGCTATATGTCATCGTTATGCTACGAAATCCCCCGAAAATTCACAAAATTTTGCCATATTTTTATATGTTGATATATTGACGCAGTATCGATCTATTTTACTAACAAAATCTCACAAGAATTTGCAAAATATCACGAGAGTTTGTAACAGAACGATGAAATTTCACGAGATTTTGAAAGTAAAATAGATCGATACCGCGTTTTTAAAAATCAATTTGATATCAGCGTATGAAAATATAATTGAGTATATTATTTTTCAAAGTGTCGGAAATGTATAACCAAACTGCTATTTTCAATGACTACTTATTTTTGTCCAGCTTTAACATCGGTATCGGTTATCGGCTACATGAGTTTTAAAATATCGGCATATCGGATATCGACTAAAATCCCAATATTGTCCATCCCTAATCAACATCCCTGCAGGGGTCACACCAAATACAGCAATATCGGGGGCAGGGCTTATCTCTCTGTCACAAATGTAAGAAAATGTGTTGGAAAGACCAGAACTGTACCAACTTTTGGAAATATGAACATATGATGGAGGGTAGCAAATCAACAGATTTGCAAAATAATCGCCCTAATGTATATGTATATATATCCTCACTTCAGTTTGTTGCATTTAGAGATCGACTGATCAGACGTTTTAATGTTAATTTGGAGTTAACGTTGAGGTTCTTCCTGCTAACTTGGAATTTGGTTGAATCTGAGTTTTAAAGCAATATATATTCTAAGGCCTAAAATACACGACAGTGGAGAAATACCCTAAAGGTTCATTTAAACAGGTATACGTATTAAAACTATCCTCTGGCTGATTGGTTAGTTGCAGTCCAGATTTCTCTTTACTGGATTTTTAACTTGTGCCTCACAGTTGAAGCCTCCATATCCTGAGGAAACCTTAACACTTTGGCTCCTTCATCTGTAGCTCCACGGAGGAGACAGAAAGCTACAAAACCTGTTTGTCAGGTTTGCAGCTTCTGGAGATCTTGCCATTTAGGGTTCCATTCCAGCTCAAATGAAGAATAAACGTGTTAACCCTAAACCTAAAAGTGGATAACAGAATGTGAAAATAATCTGAGTGGAAATATTATGTGAGGAAGAATATTTTTATGCTGTGACTCAGCCAGGATGCTGTGTACCGCTGCAGCAGGAACTCTGCAGCGTCCTCTGGTGTCTGTTCCTGTGAACGATGCAAGGAGCAAGAAAATGATCATTTAGGGTTTGCAGATTTTAAAGAGTTTGATTGAAGCAGCTCCTCTTTGTTTTTCTGACTCTTTCTCCCTGGCAGTCCAGGACGCCAGCGCTGGTCTTTGAATCAATCAATAACACAGACTTCAAGGTAACCCCCCTCCCCCTCTATCTTCCTCTCCATGCAATTTGTTTTATGCACCAATCTTTGTTAGCAGAAGCCTCCCTGATGCAGTGTTTTTTTCACTCCTGCAGGAGCTATACCAGAAGTTGACAGATTATGACATTCGTTTCTACATGTACGAACTACTGAAGGTGAGACCTGTTTTTATCCCTGTAATTCCCTCTCTGTGCTCCGACTTAAAGATTTCCTCCCACTTAAATTACTGTTTACACCTTCAATCCCCAGGCTCTGGACTACTGTCACAGTATGGGAATCATGCATCGAGATGTCAAACCTCACAATGTGATGATCGACCACCAGTTAAGAAAGGTAGGTGGTGCTTTAAATAGCCTCGCATTTGTTTTTGTTCCCTCCGCACTTCCACCACAGCACACTGAATATTATCTGTCATCCTGGGGCCACAGCTCCCATATTTTATTTTGCTTTTGTTATGTTTTAACCCGTTTTGAAGAGGAGCAGGTACTGCATTAGCGCAGGCTTTTAGCCCTTGTGTGGGTGCAGCTGAGGCTGGATGGTTAAAATAACAGCGAAGGTAATCTCCATCTGAATAAACAAGCTTCCTGTTAAACATTTTCCCATTTAATGTCCTATATCTCACTGTAATTATGATTCTGAAAGCATTGAACGAATCGAAACAAATGCTAAAAAAAAATCATAATTTTAAATTTTTTAAAGGAGAAGTCCGGTCAGCAAGGAATAACCAATGCATCATTATCTATACCTAAAACTAATAGGTTCGCGGTGATTTAAGTAATTTAGCACTAATCTGTAAAAAAATAAAAACAATATTTTTCTCCGTGATCACAGAACCTGGAACCGGCCATTTTTGCCCAAATATAGTAACAGTTCACTCCTGACATCTTCCGGCAGTGATGTCACGGTGCAGTAAGCCGAGCGCGATTCTCCCCGCTTTATAAGCAGAATCAATGGGAACTACTGGACACACTTGGAATCAACGACAATTATTTAAGATTTCCAGAGGACTTCACTTTGGAATTCGTGACAGCTATAGTTAAACTGACAATGCCAACATGCATGGCAGTTGGATGTTGTAATACATTGGGTAAAAAAGAAAAAATAAGTTGGTTATTTCACCTTTTCTATTCATGATCCTCCACGGGTTTGTCATTGGATTGCCGACTTAAAGAGGGAGGATTAGCCATCGAACTTCTAGCCAGAGAAAAAAAACACGTAATTCATCCATTTCTCTCTGCTTCGCATAGTGCACTGGTCGTCACCATCATGGATAATAGTGCATTGTTGTGACAAACACCAGATACAGCAGTGGGACTTGCTCAACAGCCAATACCGCACCGTGATGTTGCAAACCAGTAGGTGGCAGTAGTGTTCTTTGACAAACATGGATTTCTCCAGTAAAGCACGTTCAAATGAAATTACTCTTAATTAAAAACACTAAGTATGTAATAATTTCATACTTAAATTACTTTCAGAAGTTTGTATTCTGAATATATGACCAGACTTTTTAGAAATACTGCTGCATCTATCAAATAGAATAATCACCAGTAGCAATGAGCTACGAGCATAGCATACGTACTTTTATTCATTATTTTGTTGAGTGGAATATTAAACATATTATAACATTTAATCAAGTGATAATACCCAAACAGAGAAAAATAATCAACAACAATAGGAATAGAAGCAGCTGACCCATAAATTACTAAATCATCACCTAGAAATCTGACTTTTCAATGCTAAGGGGAGTGTTGGGCTAGTGGTTAATGCAGTGCGATTGTGCTCTGAGAAGGTTAAAAGTACCCGGTACGTTCCCCACAGACTCTGGGTCCCTGAGCAACACCCTAAACCCTACTCTGCTCCCTCAAGGGGATGGGTTAAATCCATCCATCCATCCATTTTCTTACACGCAAGTGGGGTCGCGAGGGGTGCTGGTGCCTATCTCCAGCAGTCAATGGGCGGGAGGCGGGTTACACCCTGGACAGGTTGCCAGTCCACCGCAGGGGATTGGTCAAATGCAGAGGTTAATTTCTCCAGTGTGAGATCAATAAAGTTCAATTTCATTCCTTTTTCTAAAATCTTTTTAAAACCTGCTGGACAATCTGGACCGTCTGTTTTTTTTTTTTTTTTTTTTGGGGGGGGGGGGGGGGGGGGGGGGTTACGTTGTTCAAAAACACACAAAGCACAATTTTTGTCCTCCTTCTGTATTGACATGAATTCTCAAAGGATGCTAACTTTAGCCTGACCTGCTATCAATACTCCATCTGTACTCCAGCTGAAGGGCTGATAACTACAGTAGCTGCATTTCCATTACAAATGTGCGCAAAACTATTTTGTTAATGTCAAAAATGTTAGTTGTCGCAATTGCGGCATTTCCATTAAATAAGAAATTCAATTAAAATTGCTCATGGATACGTTTGTTTACACGATAACTCTTGAAGACAGATGTAAACAGATAAGATAAATCTTTATTCCAGCCGCGGCTCTAATGCTTACTGAGCTCATAGTCGCAAACTAAACGTAAAAAAATACTCTGCCTCCTCATGTGATGTGAAAAAAGGTGTTTAGATTGCAGTTTGGTGAAATATAACTCCATAATTCCAATATAACCTAAAAAACGCCCCATTGAAATGTAAGAACTGTTTTTAAAAAAATAGCTGTTTTTTTAATGGCAATGTTTCCATTTAACAAATATCTTTTCATAATTTGCACACTTTGATGGTTAACGGAAACACAGCCTATCAGGGACTTACCTGCTGGCAGTCAGAAAGTGTTGATGCTTTGGAAATAATGTTAAGCAAACATGGCATTTATCAGTACCGCGATACGTTTCTTGTCATCATAAGAATTATGATTTATCTTCTAAACAATAAATTTGAATCATTCATGATTAAAAACTATATAAAATGCAAGCACATTTATTTTTTTATTATTTTTCTTAATTTTTTATCACTTTTTTCCATTAGGGCATTGGCAAATTTGAAGAATGTGATAAATGCAGCTACTACTAGATGCTTAGTGATATACGTCATACCTCTTTATGCAGCCGGTGTCCTGAAGAAGCCGAATTTAACCATGTCTGTTCTTCAAGAGTATATTTTGTTATTGTGGGGTTGCTGTAGTAAACAGTCCCAGCCATACAGTTACTTAACAAAAACTGCAACGAAATAAAAGATTTTTAATAGTCAGTTTGATATTCATGATAATATCACCCAATATCGTTCTATTTTATTAAGGACATATCGCCCAGTGCTACGAACTGCTAATGCTGCTCACGCTATATCACACAAGTCAAAGTCTTGTGCATAACCTGTCGAGAAAAACAAAAAGGGGTCTAAATGAGCATCATTTATTTTATTAAACATCAATATAAGTACAATCTCAAAAGGATTGTAGATGTAAAATACCAGTTACGAAAATTTAACCAATGGGTTATGTAAACTCTAAAAGTAAACATTAAAATATTCAACTATTCATTACATTAACAAATCAGAGGACAGGAAAGTTCTGCTTCACATGTTTTAGACTTAAATACGACATCTTTTTAAAGCTTTATCTGCAGATGTTGCTTCTGCTCCATGGACTTCAGCTGCTGTTAGCAGAAACTGTTGTGATAATGTTAGCTCTGAAGTAGGGAATACAAGAGCTGCAGGACAAAAAGGCTGGATTAGACATAATCCAGGAGTATAGTGCTTCTATCTGAGGTCTAATATGCAGGCTGATGTAATTTAATATTCCTTCAGAGGTAAGAATATACGCAATGTGTTCACAAACATGTATCCAATGCAGAAGTACCACTGACAAAGTTATTCTGACAGGAACAATCCCACAGCCTGATGCTACCACCACCATGCTTGACAGTTCTTTGAATAAAACATACGTCCAGTCATTGCCAACAAATGGCTCTATCCCTGTTTTTCTGTCCATAACCTCTTCCTCCAGGAAGCATTTGGCTTTTTATGTGGTTCTGCTAAATCCACTATGAAGGTACCAATTTAAGCTGCATGGGCGTTTTTCATGGTTAACGCCCCGTGATGGTGGGTCTATATAAAGCTGGCTTTTCTCATCAACATTAATGTTCAATGGATTCCAGTTCATAAGTGGCTCTTGGGTTTTTCATCAACATTTTAAACTGTTCTCTATCATTTAAGGGGGACAGACTGGGTCCCCTCTCCACCCATTGGTGAAATGGTGACCTCTACGTAACTTGTACTTGAATAAAAGCGCTGTGTAAATCTGTGATTATCCCTGTCAGACTTTTACAGTCTGGTTTTTACCAGACTTTAATTAAATAGTGCAGCAAGTCTTCTCTCAATGCACATCCTAAATCAGGCACTGAAGCATTTCCATCAGTTAGTAGACCACATATTTTTGTTTAGGTGGCTTGTTGGGCTGAAACTAATTAGTTGGATTAATCGTGATTTATTGATTAATGAAATAATCTGCAACTGATTTAATAATCGATTGATCGTTAACTGGAGTCTAGAGACTGTAAGTCTTGCCTTAAACTGAAAGAGCAACCCACTTCAGGAGTAATTATACCGTCTGTCAATATGCTTTATCCAGAACTCCTTTAAATTGAAAAATTTTGAGTTTCTTTTGCTTTAATTTCGTAAAAAGTGTTCTTTAAGGAACCTTTTACTATCCAATTTTTTAAACAATTAATCGAAATAATCAGCAGTTTAATTGATTTGCAAAATTTAGTTACGGTAATACATTACTTGCAGCCCTAGTTGATTGCATACAAGGGGCTGTAGGGTTTGCATTAAATTGTTAACTCAGTAAAAGGACCAACAATGGGTTTTGTCCAGCAGGGGGCAGCAGATGGACACAGATTAGCAGGTTTTCATTATGGAAGGACTGCAGCTCCTTGTAGACAAATGTTTCAGGTGCCGCTTTGTTCATTTGCTGTTCAGCAAAGTAGATGGAGCGATAATTCATTTTGCATTTCTTTATTAGCTACGCCTTATAGACTGGGGGCTGGCAGAGTTTTACCACCCATCCCAGGAGTACAACGTCAGAGTGGCCTCTCGATACTTTAAGGGCCCCGAGCTGCTGGTGGACTACCAGGTAACGTTGACCTGACACAAACCCGCTTTGTTTCAGTAACAGTTGTCCAAGCTCAACTCATCTATAAATCAACTTCATTAAACAACAGGTTTACCAAAAAGATGAGCTATAAATATAAACTATGAAGTAAAATGAAGGAGAAATGCATTTAAATGCATAGTCCCAATAATTGGGAGACACAACAGAACAAAAAGGAATTTATCTGGGGAAGAAGGAGCCAGTGGAGATTCAGTGAGATTTTCCCATGTCTGTCTACCAGTTTTAAGACAGACAGCAGCATTTTTAGACCCAAACTGGGTGCTGAAATATAATGCACATAATACTGTCTGACTCCAGGTCATGTCTCCACAGAACTGGCTTAAACTGGAAAAGGGTTGGGATCAGCTTATTAGATTTCTATCTGAGTCTATGTGGTCTCTACCAGCTGGATGTCTTTATGTTACAGATGTACGACTACAGCCTAGACATGTGGAGTCTGGGATGTATGCTGGCCAGCATGATCTTTCAGAAGGAACCATTCTTCCACGGACAAGACAACTACGACCAGGTACCACACCGCTGCAGACAGGCAGGGGGCGCTGCTGCTTCAATCACTCAAAGAAAAAAACTTTTTTTTTATTATAATAATAATAATAATAATAATAATTATTATTATTATTATTATTATTATTATTATTATTATACAATCCCATGCTTGAAATCAGTTTGTGTTTTGGTTAACAGCTGGTGAGAATTGCCAAAGTCCTGGGGACCGACGAGCTGTTCGGTTACCTGAGGAAATATCACATCGAATTGGACCCGCGCTTTAAAGACCTGCTAGGACAGTAAGTCTGCTTCAGATCCCACCATCCTCAGACCGTAGGGATGCACACCTGCTGAGAAGAAAGAAATGAGGCCACATGCTAGAAATGTCCAGAGAGTACTGTACAGGATTAGACATCATATCATAATAATTGAACTTTATTGATCTCACATTGGAGAAATTTACCTCTGCATTTAACCCATCCCCTTATGGAGCAGTGGGCTGCCATCATGGGGTTAAGGGTCTTGCTCAGAGACCCAGAGCGTCAGTCTCTGGGAGTGGGGCTCGAACTCAGAACCTGAGGATTCCAAGCTCTAACCACTAGGCTGTCACTCCCCGAATTGTTGCAGAGCCTGAGAGCAAGATCTCTGCGTTATAGTTGATATCTTAGAGCAGTGGTTCTCATTCCTGGTTCCCCTCCCCTGCACGTGTCTTCCGCTTCAGCACACATTGATTTAAACGATTGCTGCTCAACTGTATCCCAACAAGTTCTCCAGATTCCTGTTTATAACCCGTTCATTTAAGTCAGATGTGTTGCAGCAAAGAAACACCTCCTTTAAGCTCCAACAATTTCAGTTCAGTCCTGCTGAAATCTGTACTTTGTCTAACCTGGGATCTGCCACCGTTTAAATCTAAAGACCTGCGTTAATTAAAAGTTGTTTAGAGCTGCCAAATATTACAGCCTTTTAATAAAACACAACCTATGTTTGTTCGATATCTGCTATAGGAATGTTGCCATCTTAAACAACTAAGAGTTTATTTGTATTTCCAGCTTTAAGAATAAGAAAAGGCGAAATGATTAATACATTTGAGACATGGGTTTACATCTATAGGGTTATTATTGAATGTAAACAAAAACAAAAAATGCAACATTTCCAAACTTATAAAACTACAAATAGAACTAAAAGCTCTAAAAACATATTTCTGGTACTTATAATGTCATTTTTTTGCGAAGAAATTAAAAAAAATGTCATTATTTAAAAAACACTAAAGCTTCTTAAACTGGTATTTATTTTACTACATTAAATGGTTCCTTATGTCATCTTTAGCTATTATTTAGAATGGACTTAATAGAACTTAAATTCATGGACAGAAGCAAATTCTTAGCAATTTTATTGCTGATGTTTCTCCACCTTTGGATTGTTATGAGACACGCCGGCCTGCTCTGAAGTACCTTCCCTTCATTTCTCTCTGTGCAGGCAGAGCAGGAAGCGCTGGGAACAGTTTGTACAGACCGAGAACCAGCATTTAGTGAGTCCTGAAGCTCTGGACCTGCTGGATAAGCTGCTCCGCTACGACCACCAACAGAGACTGACGGCCACCGAGGCCATGGAGCACCCCTACTTTTGTGAGCGTCACATCCACACCTTTCTGCCGCCGGGCTCTGATTGATGAAATGTCTGAAAAATGTCTCTCTTTTAGATCCCGTAGTGAAGGAACAGTCTCTATCAAACGCTGACAACAATATGGTTTCTAGTGGCAACACTACTGCCCGATGAAAGGTAAAGGCTGTTAAAACTGGAAGCAAATACTCTTTTCTTTTTGTTGACAAGTAAAAAAATATGATTGAACAAGACTTTATTAGATGATGTAAGCCAGATTTCTTTACTTTTCTTTCCTTTTGATGCCTGTTTCAGACTCTTTCTGGGACTTAAGCTGATAACCAACATTTTCTAAAGCAGCCCGATGATTTTTTTCTTAGAATAATACTTAATACAACCTGTGTGTGTTGATTTTTTTGACTTGCAGTATAAGTTACTTATTTAGCTTTTTTGTCATTTTTTTTTCTTGCCTTTGTTGGTTTGATATCTCCTGCTTCAAACTGAATTATTTTTACATTAAAACATAAAGATGATCAAGATTAGCTTGAAATTGTCTTGATATGCATATATTTGCACCGATATTCCTGATCAAATTTAGTATGACTTTATTTGTTGTCTTATATTATTTTGCTTTGTTTTGGATTTTCTGTTTTAATTTTTAATTTTTTTTTTTATTATCTTTTTCCCTTTACCCTAGGTGACTCTATAGGTCTATGAAGACCCACAGTAATGGAGTTAATGGCTGAATCCCTAACCAGCCCCTAAGCACTAACCATTAACTATCAAGTGTCACTCCTAATAAAGTCACACTCACAGCTCTGGAAGGTTCCTGGATTGAAGGTGGGGGGTATAAATGAGAATGGGACAGCGTCTTCCCTCCAACGAAAGAGAAAAGCAGTTGTTGCTATGGCAACACAGTGACGCCACATGTGCATGGCTGTAGCTCTGTGCCGCAGGTTAAGATGACATCCAACATTTTCCCCTTTCTTATGACTAAATATATGTGGCAAAATAAAAGAATTTCAAAGAGGACCTTCTCTTAAGGGATTAATAACTTTTTTTTTTCCTAACTTGTGATTTTCTATCACTCTGACAAAGATGAAGCAAACCAGCGGAACTTATATTTGAATGCCCATGTTTTCTCCGCCCCAAATTCCAGCAAGTGCAGGCTCACTATTTAAGAACTGAACTTGCCCTACCCACTATGGTGTTTGTTGCAAACGGAGGGTTAGTGCTTAGGGGAAGTGTTTAGGGTCCTGTTTTGGATTCAGCAAATGACTGTCCGCCTATAAGATGGTTTTAAAGAGCCTTGATCCCACCAGTGCAGAGTTTGCTTGTAACCAATTGTTCTTTTTGCTCTTTTCACAGAAGGGGAAGGAAGATGGATGTTTGTTACCTCAACTTTGTAACCGCTTGTGTCAGAACCTTGGACAAAGTGTACAGCCACAAATGGATCAAAACGACTCGGACCAGTTTACACACTCACAGAAACGTTCGCACGGACGAACGTCAATGCAAGCACACGTCTCTAAACAAACAGATGCAGAAACAAACACAAAAACCGCTCTACTCCTCTGTGTGTCGGTCTGTGGTTGGCTCGTCCTGGTTTCCTGTCTGGCAATCTGACCAATGACCTCGAAGCTGCTGCTACCCACTACTTTGACTGCTTTCTGTCCCGTCCTGTCTGGGTGACATGTAGGTCAATAATGAGGTTTAAAGACAAATTCCCTCTCCTCTTGTTTGTCATCCCCTCATCCCATGTTTCCTTCTTCTTAAACTGCATCAGCATGGAGACCGAACAGGAGCTTTGATATTTTTTTTCAACCCGTCTTTTCCTTCGCATCATCCCTCTCCTCAACAGACCACAGGCGTCTTAGCACTACTCCAGATCTGACGGCATGGTGGACTCTAGATATTATGATAAATATAATATTAATGATAAATAAATGATTTTTATTTAGATGAATTTGTTTGGTGTGTCTTTTTTGTTGACAGTGTGTGTGTTTTAACTAAGCTTTACTCTAATTTCAGGCTAAATGTTGATGTATAGACAAAAAAAAAATTCTCTTACAAGTGATGAGGTGACATAGTGCAAAAATTGGAAATCTTTTGGAAAGCAAGCTTGTATGAGCGATGCAAACAGCCACTTTTAAACCGAGCGTGCACGGGGTGAAATGGGCTTGTGCACGCTCTTGCACAAGTTTAATAGGCGTTTCCTCTCGGGAGCAGGTACAGGGTTGTGAATTAGCTTTTTTTTTTAAACAGAGAGGGTGGGTCTTTTCAAAAATTCGGGAAAATCCACCCCTATACCTTTAATTTTCCAAAGGAAATGTGGAGCAGATTCATTCACAAACAAAAACATTGCAGCATTCCAAAGGATGATTTTGAATTAAACTACAGAGGTTTACTTGCTCTTCATAGGGATAAGTATTTGTAGACATTCATTTAACAATTTATTAAAACTCCTTTTTCCAGGGTACTCTGTTATAATACGACTTCAACTTTACAGATTTTCTTTAAGAAATGTTTACAGAGGTTTTTCTTTACTGTGGGACTTTAGTCATTTTCTTCACACAAGTCCAAAACAGATTATAAATACAGCCTTGGATAAACTGAAATGATACCCAGAAATACTTGGTTTAATGTCCTTTACCAAGTTGAAGAGAAACAAAGTGTCTGTTTTTACTGGCAAAACTATATTTTATGTATATCAAATGAACTGTGTCTATTTGATCTTAGTTTAAGCAGAACTGGTAGGATTTATTAAAACTGGTGGATTGCCTAATGAATGACTGTTATATGCTAAGAAGTTTGCCTGTAACAGATGATCTCAATCAGTAGTTATTTTGATGCCTCTTCTAGACGTGCCAGCTCCTTCAAAAATGACTTCTTCTCTCCCCAATTATCTTATTAACATGAAGCCATGATTTATAACAATATATATATATATAAAAAAAAACAAACTTGTTGAAATAGAAAAACTTAGTTCTGGGGATTACCAATGAGGACCAGGAGACTGGATTATTTTAGTTTTTTGCAGCGGTTGGATGTAATTGAGTAACTTTTGGGGAAAATTACTTTTAGGAGTAGTTTTACTGAACTGTATGTTCTCCTTGTGCTTGAGCAATATTTTTTATGCACTATCACTACTCTTTTCAGAGTATATTTGGTGGCTCCCCTCCCTGCCCTCTATACAGTAACTTCACTAAATGAAGAAAAAGCACATTTTCACCTAAAATCCATCACACTTAATGTTCTGCTAAAATTACCATTCTTTTTGTACACAAGCTCTGTTTTCTTAATCTTACTTCTATCTACTAAACCTCCTATGACATACGGTCGTAATATACAGTAAAATTTAAAATTGTAACTGGAGGTAGTATTACTATAACCCCTAGAAATATTTCCAATATATATTAAAGAGTATTTGGAGAACAAAACTAAAAGTAACAGATAATACTTAACCAGCGCATGCTTTTCTGCCACATTTAAGGATTTATTTTTCCAAAATCATGAAAGCTGATAACATAACCTCCCCAGGTTAAATTAGATAATCATCTATACTATAACTAAAATTCATATGTCGTAATTTCACCATTTAGAGTAATACATGTGTAAGAAATATATATGTTATAAACTATGCCCACCTATGAAATGGCCAAAAGACATGCTAACATGTTATAATATAGATAGTACTAACTGTCCAACATTAGTGTTAAATATTTTCATACCTTTTGTATCTATCTTTTAAATATTTAGAGAGTAAAAAGAGCTTTACTGCTAACATACATTATATTACACACTGTAAAAATTGGTTTCATGCTGTGTTTTTGGAAGATGTGGGTCTTCTGCCAGTTTGTTGTCTCCATTTTTTGAAAGAAAACGTTCAGATCTAAATATTAATGAATGTTGCCCAAAAGCCTTCAGCCAGGTGTCACGGGGGCCCTTAACAGGTCACCATGAGCTGTTGTTTTTCTTGAGTGTAGCTCTGAGGTATCACCTTCCTGCTTGAACAGAAACCAGAGCTTTAGCTTCCTGTTGAACAAACTGAAATAAAGCTCACGTTCAGGCCACTCTGAAACACACGCACACATATATACCTACCTCTCAAATGTACCTAAGGCATGAAACATTCAACAGAAGACTTGTCCAATTAGTACTGTACCCTTGAGAAAAACACTGGCATCTCTCTGTTATTCGATTGTTAATCTGAGCTGTAGTTTCCACACTTTTTCATACAGATTACAATAGAAATATCCATTACCGTCCCTCAGGGGAAATTTTACTGTAGCTGAAAAGTTACCGGTAAGTTGAGACATACAGATTTACACCGAGATAAAAACTAAATAGGAACAATAAACGGAACAGTTAGGAAGATTTTACATAATAAGAAAAATAAAAAAATTCAAGTTTAAATTATGCAGTGAAGTAATGCAAATCTTTATTATTCCATCTTATATAGCTTTAGATCTTATCTTTTGGTTTGGTACATTTAATATCCGAATGGCAACATTTTTCAAAATTCAACATTTTGCGTTTTTTTATCTCCAAAAACATCGCACAACTTTTAGGTGGATGATTCTTGTGCGCCTTATAGTATTGGACTCAAAACTTTGAAAAAAACTTCTTTTTTTTGCAAACGGAAAGTCTTCATTATTTCTGTTTACTGAATTCCAGAACTTTCAGAGATTTTCGTAATACTTTTTTGCAAATATTAAAGATTTGTCTTTATTGTTAGACCTCCCTTGTTTTCTTGAATTTCTTGTTCTTACTGGAAATTACCAGCCATACAAAAAATTATTCATCTGTTGTTGAGATCAATTGAAGCTTCTAATATTCATATCTGATCACATTCTGTTATAAAATATGTTAAAATTACTCATCCCAAGGCTCCAATAGGAACAAAACATCAGATAAAAGAAAAAAAAAAACATCACCAAGATATGAGGAAAGATATAAGAACATTTGAGAAGTGGGAAACTCAGACGAGATCTTATAAAGGTGTGCCCCTGGCCTTAACTTAATTATGTCTTGGTTATGTTGAAGGAGAATAACATAAGATTATTCTGAAGTTTTAGTTTAGATTTCTTTTTAGCTCTAATAGCTTTTATTCAAAATAAAACTGACAGGAAATTGGGATGAGTGAGAAAAGAGTAAACAAGCGATAAAGGTTGACAGGCCAGCAGCAGCAGCCATGTCCAGGACTGAGGCCTCCATGCATAGGCCATAGGTTTCATCCCCCTGCATCACCACTGTGCTAAAAATCTGAGAAGTGAGAAACAGAACCATGTACATTTCTCACTGAGACATAACTAAGATAGTGCTTCCAAGTAAGAGATGCTCTTTGAGAATTTGAGAACGACAAGAAAACCACTTTGATCTTGATTTGTGTTGTTTTATGTTTGGGAGATGTTGATGTGTCATAAATAGGGCAGAAAATATTTGGGCAGAAGAAAACAATTAGGAAAGCAAAGTTTGTCTAATAAATCTTAGACATTTAAACAGTTCTGGAAAGCCCAAATGATGATGTGATAGCTTTGAAAGCTTCTGATAGCCAGATTAACAACATAAAGCAACACAAAAACAGATTACAGTTTGAAAATACACAAAGGGGCAAACATCTTTGATCAGATCATGTACCCTCTGGTCACCATGTGCAGGATGCTTTAAGAGGTCCCTATACTGTTATAATTGGCTTAGAGCTTCTTCTTCTACAGTTGATATAAATATGCATGCTTTTACAACCGACTAGAAAATGTAAGGAGGGGAAAAAAAACTCTATTTTAGAAGTGAGGCTAAACTAAAGTTTAAAGTTGCTGGAGCTACTATGAAGAAAGACCAGGACTTCAGAAATAATACTGAGTGTAAAACTGAAGTATTTGGCATAAACCATGAAAAAGGAACAGAAAGCTGCTCCTGTGATGCATGGAGGGAGAGTGTCATGGTTTGGGATGCTCTGCTGGTGTTGAACCTGGCTAGCTCAGCATCACAGAAAGTACCATTGACTAACAAACCTTGGCTTAAAATGACCCTTATACCGTTTGAAAGAAACTCCTCAAACATCCTGTTTACCCAATTCTTATGTTTTATAGTCATTTGCAAATCATTAAGCAAAGTTTTCAGTTTCAAGAGGATTTTTCATGTTTTTATTGAATGAGAAGAAAAGAAAAACACTTTGTCTAGCTTTGATCAAATAAAGAAGGACTATGGTCCTGGTTTTATCAAAATTTCACATACTTTATTAAACAATTTGGACACAAACGTATGAACAATCTCAGAAAATAAAACAAGCAGATCAGCTACTATTTTACGAATGTAATATTTTATTTCTTTAAATAACTCAAGAAGGAAATGGGCATTTAATTCTGGATCATAATTTTTTTTTGCACTAAAGAATAAATAAGTTTTGCCCTATTAAAAAAAATTGAATAAAACAACTGTTAAGGAAAAAAAAGAGAGACCTGAAGTCAGACTATTTATTTAGTCTGTGGTTAATCTGGACGCTATGTAGAGACCAAATTATAGCAGAAATGCAGCCAAAATAATTTTTTTGTTTATTTTCAGTAGATTCTAGAAGCCTTCATCTTTCATCTCAAGCACCCCTGAAGGACGGCTAATCAGACTCCAACACACAGCCAGCAGTTCAATGTAATTCTTCTTCTTTTCATTAGAGGCTGAAGATAATGCTGAGGATATCCCACGTCACTGCAACAGTCAGAACTGGAGGGTTAACTGGTCTCTGCTGGTTTAACACCAGTGTCCGTGGGTCAGCTAACTCGTTTTAAACTGCGTTTACGCCTGAGACAGCAGGGGACACACTTCTTCTCCGCCTTGGCCCCTGGCGAGGCCTGGACCGGTGATGAGGAGCCCTGCTTCCTGTGGGGACACAAAGAGAAATCGGACACAGAGGCTGAGAAATGAGAGGAGGAAGTGAGACCA